AATAAGGGGAACGTTGTACAGTTCCGGTCAACTAACGCAGGATACCACTGCTTCCGATGCTCTTCAAATTATGGACGCGATTGTTGCCGAAGCGCTAATGCACTACTTGGAAGAGCATGATATCAGCACAGGCACAAGGATTTCGCAATCACCGATCTTGCACTTCAAATACGCTACTAGCATGTTCCAGTTGAATTGAGACCCTTGACAGCGGCATAGGACTTAATGCGGTATCTCTGGACTACTCAAAGTCCTTCGGTTTTCTGTACCACCGTAGCCTCCTACAACAGCTGCAGTGCTGTGGAATTAGTGACCAAATGATCGGTTGGAACGGTAACTTATTGGTTCAATGACATCGGTATGCAAGATTTGTGGCGTCATCTCTTACCCAATCGAGGTTAAGTGGGGAGCGCCCCAGGGCTCAGCACTTGGTCCACGACCATTCTTATTTTACATAAACGAACTCGCGTGAGTGGCCACGTCCAACTCTTTATTCTTCACTGATGACAACAAAATATGTCGAGCCATTAGAACAACCAGCGACAATGCAGCATTTCAGGATGCTGGCGATAGGGTCTACGAATTGTCCACACAGAATCTGCATCAGTTCAACTCTACGAAGTGCTAGCTGTTGAGCATAGGGCGTGAAGCCACCTGCGAATACAGACTGCGGGATCAAATATTGCAGCGCAGTTCAACGGAATGTTATCTAGGAGTGACAGTGCAGAAGATCTGGTCTTGTTCCTTCAGGCCGAGAAAGCTACCAAAGATTTAACCAACAGCTTGGACTTTTGCGGAGGGCATTCGGGCACGTTCAGTCATCGAGCTTTTTTGTGACGCTCAACGCTTACGTTCGGCCTTATTCTGTGTACGCCGTCCATGCCTGGCAGTAATGGCAAATGCAAGGCCTTACTGTGCTGAAATTGCCACAACGAAGGGCGACCGACTACGTAAAGAGCCAGTTTCATCTTCGTTACCGATTGATGTTGAAAGCCAGCATGGTCTAAAGTGGATAATAACGACGCCTGCGTGGCGACTTGGTAATGACAAATGATCCCGCAGGATGCAAACCATTCTTGTCGTCAACAAATAAAGCTGAATCGCAATACTGCACTTAATGGACACCAGCTCTAGCTGGCCATACAATACAGCCGGTTGGAATGCCGTAGGCAGTACGTTTCTCTGTGTGCTAACACGGGAACTATCCGCCTAATACGTTGTTTCTTCCCCCACGCTAACAGCATCCTAAAGACGTCTGAATGATTCGTTCAACTACTTACATTACGTCATTTAATCAATGGTGTTTACGTCAACCAAACGCCACCAAACTGTGCACATGCTCAGATTTTGCGCTTTGCTACATTTGTGCTGCTGCTGTGAAACATCGTTCGTATGTACTACAACTGCATTTATCTGTTGTATTTATTACCCATGAAAGGGGTGAACGGGTGAGCGGTGTCGTTTCTTCTGCTCTTACGACGCACCTTCCTCATATTACTTCTCATGGTATTCTACCGTAACATTATAGTGGGCCTTCTAAAATAATTTAATAACGCAGGGCTTCTGCATCGCTAGAGGCTTAAGTTGTCAACTTACCCACATGCTTGCTTTTACAAACCATCCTACAGAAGTTGTAAACCAATCGCTTTTTCCCGCAATATGAAATTGCTCCTGCATATATATATAGATATATATGTATATATAGAGGAAGTTGGGAAACGGAGGTTGTGTCCTGGGTAACTTAAATGTAATCATAGCGATGAACAGGCTGTGCGAAGATTGAAGAGTGAAAGACTGCTTACATATATTGAGAATATCCTGTTTTGAAGATGACGAATACAGAAGCAGAGATAGTCAAAAATTGAGGCTAAATAAGAGGGTTGGAATAAATCATGAACTAAATTTCTAGTGGAAATTACAAAACGGAATGGATTCGTTAGGTAATTTAAAACTCATGGCTATTTCACCTTTTTATGTGATTAAAATGCGGGTAATGCACCGTCGCAAGCCGAAATTTCAAAGTAAACGATGAGTTTAGTTGAGCCCCGGGTAGGACAGTGGGCAGGTAAGACAACTTCAGGAGCTGCGATTATGTCAAAATGTTAAAAAGGCTAGGCAAACTGGAGAATAGATAAAACGAAAACTTGTGCTGAAACCGCCATTGATAAGAGATGCTGTGCAACTTAGGTTAAGAATGGACAACTTAAGGTGCTAAAGTAGTGCATAGAAAACAAACCACCTAAGCTAAAGGAACAGAGTCAATCAACGAAAAGTATGCGGGAATTAGAGGCTGAGAAAGTGGCAGTGTTTGTTATTTTGAGACAAAGGACCATTACTGGATTCACCGTTGTCCATAGGGTAAAAGCGAGTAAAGAAAGTGCGGATGAGTCAATAGGAGAGCAAACTCGTGAAGCGGAAAGTGGATTATATGTGGAGTCCTTAGAATGTAAACGGGGAGCTAAATAAAAATTCCAATGTTGCCAGTGGTCCTAGAATCTGATTCGCCTTCAAATAATGTCACAGCGTTTTGCATCACCCTGAAAAGTCTTCCTACTTCACCTACGATTAACTCTAATGCATTTGCTCATGCGGGTTTACTTACCCTCCTTAAACATATGGGATCCTTCATTGTCAACTTGCAACAACTAGGTGGCTTCTCAAAAGTTTACTTTACATTTTCACGTTACTGCATGTACTCTATTTACGGCATCGAAATATTAGTAGGCATTTTGACTGACTTCTCGACCGTGCTTATGAGGGGCTTATTCATGTCCGACTACCTTACAAGCATAGACCGCGGACCTTTTGCTTCAGAAGGTCTGAGCAGGAGCACAGCCACACCACTCTATAGGTAGTAGCTTTTTAACCTTCTCCCTATATCACTTTGTACTTTACCACCGCCTTTATACCTACACTTTATCTTAATCCTAAAGTTTGCCATGCCAACAATACTTACTCCAGTCCTATTTCGGCCTGTATAATCCCCAGCCTACTGAGAGCCTTTGGAGCACTATTGCCTTGCTCAACGTGGGCTCTTTAACTCTGAGACCATCCTTCGTCTATCATTAGTGACTCACCATCATCACTATGCATTTCCCCACTAATTTACTCCCTCCCATAGCTCTATAACTTACCCTTTATTGCCCCGGCGACCATTACACAAATAGTGCCTTATACTACCTCGCGAAACATTGCTGGTGTCGGATAGCACCAGTGTGCCAGCATAGGGGATGTGCGTAGGCGAGTACTAGATATTGGTATACATGCTAGCTCCCTAATGCAACAGATAGCACTGTAATTGTTGTTGGCTTTGGCACGTACTACGTATGCCTGGTCACCGCTTGATGTGTTGGGCCTTGCTTTGTCTGCCAGGTGTAGGGTAACGCAACGTTCGTGGTGGACAGAATTTGACTTGGCAGCGGGAACTGAAGTCACTGACGACAAAACTTGGTGCAGTTGGTCCATCTCGGCTTCCGTAATGGAGTCCACGTGACTCGCATTGTTCTTGGCATGAGACGTTGCAGGCTATAGCTCTCAGTACAGCAGTGTAGTGCTGATGCCCATTGCCCATATGAAAGAGTAGATTAGTCTGACAACAATGAGTAGTCGAGACAAAGGTCCACAACTTTTGAATGTACATCGAGGTTGTAGCCATCCCAGAATTCCAAAAGTCAGTCATGCGGTCCTCTAGAACACTAGGAAGGTGAAGAGACTTTTGTTATGGAAAAATGAGCTTCAATACAACAATACACAAGTTGGCTACAGGTCGTCACTCCCTAGCTACCAAACGATGCATGACAGACGTCATAGTAAAATGCGGATTATTGGTCGCAAAGGGGTTTCTTCATCAGTTGTGTGGACTGAAAAACTAAATGTGAAGGGGTATTCCAAAACAGAATGACGTCCCAATTTGCTGTGTTGAAGAAAACCAATTGGTACGGCGGATATCATACAGTAACAGAAGCTTCACTGGAAGATGTTAAATCAAGGCTAAATTATCGACAAATAATAAACTGATATGAAATAGTTTGTGCTGTAAAATAGCTACAGTGCAGAGTATCTGATGCGCACCAACAGAATGAAATTGCCTGTAAGGAAAGCTGTGCCGACGGAGAGATGATTGTGTCACCAGACCAAAACGAAGGCAAGCAAAGTGACGACGGATTGAAGAAATGAGTTCTGAAGTGACCTAACCGATCGAGTAGCTTGGTTTCCACTAAGACTACACTATGAACGGAGCCAAAATGACCTTTCTTGGTGTGTGTGTGTGTGTGTGACACATTTCAGGGATGCATGGATAGAACGCTTGGTTTACCGTAAATTCGTCAACAAGGCTAAGAAGTCAATTACACCTAATGTATGAGCCGAAGGAACTCGGAATGGATAACTTGCAGATTCTTGTGGAGCAACAACGCTTCCAGTTCCCCTATTTCAGAGATGATCTCTCAAACTTTCTTTCCAAACCATGGCTGATAAACTTGATCGAAGGGAAGTGTAGTTCATGTATCTTCTCGTAACACCATACTGCTGCCTGTGATTTAGTACAAAAAAACTGTTGCACAAAGTGTGAGTGTGTGCCGCCTTCCAGACAGACAGCAAGTACTCTGAAAATCGAGCAATGAAAGTCTCTCTACTTTGTCAAGCACTGCTCGCGTAGCTCAATGACCTTATGGTCAAGGCGTCAGTCGTCAGCCAGTATGTATCGGGTTCCACTACCAGCTCAGGTCATCATTGCCTGAAGAGTCTAAATAATGACGAAATTCGCTGTAAATGTGAGTGCGCCAAAACTCGTCCGGATAAAACCAGATTATACGGGACATAATGGGAATTAAAATAATTTGGAACCCTCGGTTTTCCCAACACAGACTAGCTATCATAAAACAGTGTAACCGGACTGCGCATAGAAATAATATGAAAGAGATATTCTGTGAAAAAGGTAAATCGCGAGACCGAACCGAACAAGCGCAGACTTGTAAAATAATATACATATATGTGCATACTTGTAGAAGCGCTTTAACGACGAAGCTACAATCTCCAGGTGACAAAGAAGATGTATTGATATGCTTGGCAATCGTGTCAAGAGCGTCACCGCGAACTCTCCACTGCGAAGACTCCTGCAAAATAAAATACGTTCAACGAATGCTGGACGAATCTAAAATTTAACTTTCAGAAAGCAATGCGGCTAAAAGAAAGAAGAAATTGTCATTCGGCATTAGTCCTAATAACCTTTGGGTACGAAGAAGGATGAGACACACATTACACACTAGGATGAGATTTCAGTTCACTTGATCAACTAAGATCCGAGCACCGAAACGCGGTGGATCCACACACCGTAAGAATAACAATAACACCGGTAGAATAGTTGGGTTGATTGCATATAGAATGTAGAAAAAATGAAAGCAAGGAGGTGCGTTAGACTAAACAGAATGGAACGAAAATTAACAACCAGATGAAGGTGGCCGAAGGCAGGAACGCCACTGACTGCGTGACTGTGCCATGTCTGACACGGTCTCCAACTATTGGTGTGGACCGCCCCGAGGCTCCCATCAACGAAGACGGAATGCACCAGCCTAACCAAGTCTCTTAAGCTTCTATGCCATGTCATGGACTGGCCGCCTCGCGGTTTCGCCCAACTTGAAGTAAGGACGGCGCAAAAACCACGCCGAAGAAGCCGATCAACGGGTACACGGAGGACATGGCCTAGCTAGCGCAAGCGGCTAATACTTAGTAAACGCTCGAGTACGGCACCAGAAGGCTTCTCGCAAAAAACTAATTGGTGGACCTCAACATTGCTCATCAGGTATTTCCACCAAACGTGAGCAATACTTCGCAAGCACCGGTGGTTAAACACGGCCAGGTCTCTGATCCAAACAGTAACAACGGCCTTTCACTGACAAGTTGATATCCCGCCGTCTCCATAGATGATTGAACGTCTGAAAAGCCCCATGGGTCTTGCTGGTACAAGAAGTAATATCCTCAGTGATGTGACCACCAGAGATGACACAGATACCAAAGTAAGTGAACCGATCCACCACTTCCAGTGGCTGTTCGGAAACAGCTAAAACTGGGGGTGTGCCGTCCCAGTTCTGCAACAGCACATGCTACTTTGAAGGTGCAAATTATATGCCGAAGGATGCAGTGCTATGCGCAAGTCTGTGCAGTAGTGTTTGCATAGCCAATGCATCAGATCCAACGTGAACTATGTCGTCCGCATACTCCAGATTTGTCAGTCGGTCGCTTGGTAGAACAACCGTTCCACAAAAAAGTCTGAAAGAATAGAGTCATACATGATTATTTCGAGATCCAAATGCCAGACAATTTAGAGATGCCTAATATTTGGTCTGTGATGCTCGAGCAACTGCTGGGTGTTCAAACTGCAGCACGTAAGCTCATTTGGGGCACAACTTGCTTCGAGGCGAACCCGTTTTAGGGATGACTAAAGCCGCACCGGGTGTAGGTGTGATATTTGTTGCTCGCGCTTAACACTGAGGTCCCCAGAATAAACATCGTGTTTACTTAGATTCCACAGAGGAAGCAAAATATGAAAATCGAAACAGTAACGTCGTGACTGACAGCCGAAGACTTGGGAGCGAGTCCACTGAGCTCCACGAGTAAGGATTGTCACGGTAGTTTTCAACCATCAGCGAGAACCCAGTTTGGACCATGGTTTGTGACCTATGGGGCAGACGTATTCAAGGTTTTCCGCAACATTTGGAGCAAATAACCCCAAAACACCGCTGATATTTTTATAATCCGAGGAAGAATACCAATAATAGACCAAGGAAGCGGCAGCCATCAGCCGTAAGCCTGTCAGCCACAGAGCTAAACTGTAGGCTGCGCAGAGATTAAGCTTATGGAAGGCAGCACATACGCACGTGATGACGTACAATGATTTTTGCCGAACTTGTAATGTATGCAGCAACTTGTTAATGCGAGTAATAAAACAAAATGAATATCTGAAACAGTATCACATACGTAGGTCTACTCAGTCTTTGCTATGGGAGCAGTTGCTCGCCGTTAAGATCGCGTTTGCTTTTGGTGGACGAGGAAATTAGCGATGATAGATTGTGCCCGCTATTACACAACGTCATATAGCAGTGGGATGATTTAAAGGGGTGAGACAGGTCCCGTGTTGGTCTTTAGGCGGAAAAAGGCATCCACGACACATTATCATCGGCAAAGGGGAAATAGCAACAGACTTTCCCATTGAGATACTGGCAGTATCCAACAGTTTTCATGTGCCACACTAGCACCGGGATAGCGGAATCAAACTTGGCTAATACCGTCACAGAATAAGAGATAAAATATGTCATGTACAGGTGCCAACTCATATGTGAAATGATGACCATAAATGGAATCCCGAAAGTCAATTTTTCCATCTAACTGGATAGTGGTTGTGAGATATAAATTCGCGCAAATTCTAACATCAAATGTAGGGTTGATCCACATAGAAATGATGATACACAAATGTGTTGGCCTTAAAATCACCAATGTGCCTAAATCAAAAACATCGTAGTGCCGTGTGCAACAGTATAATCACAAGTGACCACCCAACTGTAAAAGCAAACTACTTTGCACGCAGCTAACGAATCAGTTCCCGACTATTAGTCGAACATGATGATTAGTAAGAGAGAAATGTCAGTTAATTAATCATACCTCAGCTGCGCTTCGGTAAAACAAAAGCAACGCAATATCTTTCAAATTTCCAAAAGCCTAATAAAGTACTATCCAACAGAGGGAATAACACTGCAGTAAAGCGTCCATTCTGACCCAATAGAGACCTTACAATGAAGGGGCGCGCGCTCGTTTATAGATGGCTGAAGGAAATAGTTTCCGGTGCCAGATGTAGAGAAAAAAGCTACATACCTTGAACACCGAGTACATCAGTATCCAGACGGCGAAGCTGCCGAATGTACGCAACACGGGGAATCGAAACTTGAGAAGACAAAATTAACAAAATGAGGATTCTATACAGAACTGCAGCAATTACCTCTGTCCTGATATGACGATTTCAGCAATGGGTAGTAGACAGAGAATATAATAACACGTGATTATTTATTCCGCTACGCAAGTGTTTAAATGGTTAATGCTACACCCTGCCTTAGATCACTACACTCATCGGTATCGTTAGGCATAAGCGTACTAGAAAGACTTTCGTTATCCCAGAAGTATCAGGGTCCGCTCTACTTCTGTCCATCATCAATCAGACAGACAGCGGGAAATCTAGAGTTCAAATCACAGATACGATAGTAAAAAGGAAGAAGGGTGAGACGAAATAAAAAAGAGACAAGCACAAAACAGGAAAAATAATCCACGGATACCAAATCGGAATTCAAAGCAGGAGAACGGATGCAACGGCAACAACGATTCGCAGCCCACGATCCATCAGCTGAGGTAGCTAACCGATGACAGGGACGAGCTTGAGGTCCAGTGATATACAGGTATGAATTGGCATCAACCATCCGTCTACTTACCCATGCCTTCGAACAAGATCCTAGTATTTTCAAATATTTTCACACCGACCATAAATTCCCATGCGCGAATTTAACACCTAGATTTTGCGGCAGTTTCCTCATACTATGGTGACAAAAGTTAGGATAACTGGACGCGAGACAAGGTGAACAAATCAAGTCGGCCAGCAAAAATGGGGCCTACGTTCAAAAGAAAGTGAATCAGCAATGCAACCATAGGTCGTAGAATGCACCGTTGCCACGCAAGCACTAAGAGCCACGTGCAGACAAAGGAACTGAGAGGCTGTCCGAACCTCAGCCTCCTCCTCCTCCTCATCATCATCATCATAATCACCACCATCAGCATCATCATTATCATCATCCTCATCCTTATCCTCATCCTCATCATCATCATCATGATCAGCAGCAGCAGCAGCAGCGGCAGTAGTAGTGCTAGTAGTAGTAGTAGCAGTAGTAGGAGTGGTAGTAGCAGTACATCAGCCAGTTGAACTGATGCTGCGCTGCAGTTTAAACACGGTGACCTACGCAACGAAGAATAATAAGAAAAAAGGGACCAAGTGAAAAACCTTGAAGCCCTAAACAAACACTCAGTGTCATTGTGAGTACACAATGTTAAAAACACACCGTCACAAACAGCTGTCTATCGTGTAAAGATAAGGCGGCGTCGGCGAAAGAGCTTCCTTGCGGCTTTCACTGCCCCGCAGACAATACAGCATCAAACACACCTTAAGCAGACAGTCCGACTAGAAGATGACAGCACACACACCAATGGTATCGACTGAGAGCCATAGTCTGCAACGGCTCACGCCAGGCCCAAGGCGAGCCACGTGGACACCAGTACGGAACCCGTGAAGGACAAACGGCCATATTAATTTTTCCTCACCTCGGACCTTGCGACACCCTACATGTGGCAAAAGTCATCCCCGTATCAAGCAGCGACCAGGCATACACAGTTAGTGCCGAAGCCAACGCAACTTATTCAGTGCCATCTGTAATTCTAAGGAACTATCGGGTGGGTACGATGTGTCTAACGATTGTCATCGACGTACCGTAAAGTGCCGCACATTGCGCGCCCTAAGAAAACCCCGAGGAATTCTAACGGCACTCCGGAGATCCAATCGGATCTCACATGATGCACACAAGTGCGACGTCTGCATACCCCAACTTGCACAGCGCTTCACGCGATGAGGCACAGACTAGGGATGCTTGAACGATCGATACATTCTGGTCAGTGTTTGAGGACAGAATGTTTCGCGGAAAACTGGATGCCTGTGGGCTCTGTACTGACGGATGTTTAGCCGTAGCACTGAAGTTACCGTTACGTACAGAGTCTACTGTGGTAAAAGAAGATGGACATCGCGTTGGCGAACGAACCTACACGTGGTGCACAACTGCTTCTATCTCATCACAGCTATGTTCCGATTGAAGTAGACAGACTGACGTAGACGTAGAAATGTTTTCGATGTGTCCGGATGTGTATCAATGATAATGTTAAAATACAGTTACGGTGGGCACGCCGGTAGACTGAAAACTACTTTCCGAAGTAGCACTGTAGGAAAAAAGCATCACTTTCAACTAGACCTTTCATATTAGGAATAGTAACGACTTGGTAGTATTTTGCTTTCCTGTTAAGTGAGCCAATT